TTGCAGATTGATTCGTGGTTAAAGGATCTGGACATTGGATTTAATTTCAACAAGATTTGATATCATGAATAGAGGTATGTATATCTAACTATATTTATTTATGCGTTATAACGATATGAAATTAATTGAAGTTCTAAGATCTAGGTTTTATGATAATTTGTGATTAAAGTCTAACACAAAATTAATTAGGGTTTTTACATATGGTATCAGAGCCCGTAGTTTTGGAACTCATTATTTTTCCATTATACTTGCATAAATAATATGTTTAAGTTTAAATTAAAATTTTAATTTATTATAGACTAATCTGTTTAATGCAGTTTGTCTCTTGACTATTGTTTCATAAAGTAATCAATATCTCTTACTTAGATTTGTTGACTTATTATAATATGCCTCGATTTCTGAACCTTATTGTTTTGTTGATGGTTATATGAATATAATGAGAATGGTGTGACAAAGCTGCTATGATTTCGTGCATATGATGACAGAAGTTAAAGTTGTATATTTGATATATATATTATATGTATTTGTTGAAAGTTTGAAAAGAGACAAAAACAACTTAAAGTTTGACAAAGGAATCTGGGTGGAGTTAAAGTTTTTTTTTTTAAAAAAAAAAAAAAAAAACGAAACTTGGTGTTTGTTGATGTTGATGGCTATATATTTATATAAATATATAACTTAAATATATATAAGCATAACGAGACAAAAAACAAGTCAAAAAGAGATTGTTTTTTAGGTTGTATTCTTATTTCGTGCACAATCTCTTTACAGGATGAAAATTTTGATTGTTATTCCGCTGCGCAAATCGAGATTCTCAAAAATAATGATGTCGTTTTTGTTTTGTACATAATTAAATATATGTTTATTAATATACATTACAGTACATTTATCCATGAAATTTTAAGACACTCACTAGCAGTTTAATTAATTATTTTGATAAATTATGTGTGCATAATATGGTGGGTAATTTAATATTAAATTTATCACTAGGTAATTTAATATTCATATTATAGAAAGGTTGGTAGCTACCAAAGTGGCCTAACCATAAAGGTTAATGGATATTAATTTTAGTGGTAGACATAATTACAATATTTCATGAATAATGATGCTTATAATTTTTTATAATATTCATGAATATTGGGTTTATTCAATTATTAGAAATAATTCCTCAAAGGGAATTAATTTTCAAGTGATTAAATAAATATTAAGGGGTTGTATGTAATTTTTAATTGGGTAGCTATAGGATATCCAAATGTAACTTGTCTATTTAATTAATTAGTGCATCACCAATGAAAATATATATATCAATAAATACATCTAAGCATCATTTTTTTTTTGTATTTTATGGTTACTACCCAAAGGGGTACCATAGTTGTACAATGTATTTATTTATTTTTATATGTGTTGTTATCTCAAAATATTAATGTTATGAGCAATTACCTTATTATGATTATTTTATTGCAGTATCTTTTCCTGTTTCTGTGAATTCGCATGCTTCATCTGTTCCAATTCTCAATGGGGCTAACTTCTCAGAGTGGAATGAGCAAGTTCAGTTCAATTTAGGAGTATTAGATCTTGATTTAACATTTCAAATTGAGAAACCTATTGCTATTACTGGTGAAAGCAATGAGGAAGAAAAGTCTCTCAATAAAGTTTGGGAGAAATCAAACAGATTGAGTATTATGTTTATGCGAATGACTATTGCAAATAATATCAAAACAACTCTTCCCCAAACTGACAATGCTAAGGAATATTTGAAAAATATTGAAGAATGTTTCCGTACTGCAGATAAGTCTCTTGTAGGGAAATTAATGGCTGACCTCACTACTATGCGTTTTGATGGTACTCGTAGTATGCATGAGCATGTTCTTGACATGACTAATCTTGTTGCGAAATTGAAAACTTTAGGGATGAATGTGGATGAGACTTTTCTCGTTCAATTTATTATCAATTCCTTACCTACTCAGTATGGGCCATTTCAAATTCACTATAACACTATTAAGGATAAGTGGAATGTGAATGAATTAGCCAGTATGTTAGTTCAGGAGGAAGGAAGGCTTAAGCAACAAGATAATCATAATGTTCGTCTCATGACTCAAAAAGCTAGAAAGAAATTTGGGAAAAGGCCTGGAAAAGGCATTAAGCGAGCAACACCCCAAATAAAGGATTCTGATCAAGCTACTCAAAAGAAGGAACGCAAGAATGATAAGTGTCATTTTTGTAACAAATCTGGACACTTTCAGAAAGATTGCATGAAACGTAAAGAATGGTTCGAAAAGAAGGGTAAGCCTTTGACTTTTGTATGTTTTGAATCAAACTTAATTGAAGTTCCTTCTAATACTTGGTGGGTTGATTCAGGCTCTAATGTTCATATTTCCAATACGATGCAGGGATTCCTTTCAACCCAAACCACAAATCCAAATGATGATTTCTTGTTCATAGGGAATTGGGAGAAAATTCCAGTTGAAGCCATTGGGACATTTCGTTTAGTTTTAGATAGTGGATTTCATTTAGATTTGTTTAAAACTCTTTATGTTCCTTCAATTTTCCGTAATTTGATTTCTTTGTCCAAACTTGATGTTGATGGTTTTTCATTTAAATTTGGTAATGGATGTTTCAGTTTGTTCAAAAAATCCCAATTTGTAGGTTCTGGTATTCTTGTTGATGGTTTATACAAGATAAAGCTTGATAATTTATTTTCTGAAACCCTTTTGACCTTGCATCATAATGTTGGAACCAAATGTAGCTCAATTAATGAAAATTCATCTTTCTTGTGGCATAAAAGATTGGGTCATATATCCAGTGAAAGGTTAAAAAGATTAGAAAAAGATGGAATTCTTTGGAATCTAGATTTTACTCATTTTATTGTGTCTGTGGATTGTATTAAAGGTAAACAAACCAAACGCACAAAGAAAGGAGCCACAAGGAGTATAGAGTTTCTTGAAATTATTCATACAGACATTTGTGGACCTTTTAATGTTCCATCTTTTGATGGAGAAAAATATTTTATCACCTTTATAGATGATTTTTCACGTTATGGATATATCTATTTGTTGCATGATAAATCTCAAGCAGTGAATGCTCTTGAAGTATACTTAAATGAGGTTGAAAGGCAACTAGATAAAAAAGTAAAAATAGTAAGGTCGGATAGAGGTAGTGAATATTATGGCAAGTATGATGAAATGGGTCAATGCCCTAGACCGTTTGCTAAACTCCTTGAAAAGCATGGCATTTGTGCTCAATATACTATGCCAGGCACGCCACAGCAGAATGGTGTAACTGAAAGGCGTAATCGTACTCTTATGGAAATGGTTAGGAGTATGTTAAGTAATTCCTCGTTACCCATATCATTGTGGATGTATGCTCTTAGAATTGCTATGTATGTATTAAACAGGGTTCCTAGTAAGGTAGTTCCAAAAACTCCATTTGAACTGTGGACAGGAAGGAAACCTAGTTTAAGGCACCTACATGTTTGGGGTTGCCCAGTGGAAGCTAGGATTTATAATCCACATGAAAAGAAATTGAATTTTAGAACAGTTAGTGGGTACTTTATTGGTTACCCAGAAAAATCCAAAGGGTATAGGTTTTACTGTTCTACACATAGTACAAGAATTGTTGAAACCGGTAATGCCAAATTCATTGAGGATGGTGAAATCAGTGGGAGTAATAAAAATGAGAATGTGATCATTCAAGAAGTTAGGGTACAAATCCCTTTACCCACAACTTCTAAAGAAATAATTGTTTCTCCAGTTGTTGAACTGCATAACAACGAAGAACAATTAAATGATCAACAATTCCATAATGAAACTATCACCAATGAAGTTATAGAAGAACCACAAGGAATAACATTAAGACGGTCTTAAAGAGAAAAGAGACTTGCTATTCCAGATGATTATGTGGTATATCTACATGAATCTGATTTTGATATAAGGATATGTAAGGATCCGGTTACATATTCATAAGCCATTAATAGTAATAATTCTATTAATTGGATTAATGCCATGAATGAGGAGTTGAAGTCAATGGAACAAAATAAAGTTTGGGAACTCGTTGAATTGCCTGAAAGATTTAAACAAGTCGGGTGTAAATGGGTCTTTAAGACCAAACGCGACTCTAATTGCAATATTGAACGATATAAAGCCAGACTTGTAGCCAAGGGCTTCACTCAGATTGGAGGCATTGATTATAAAGAAACATTCTCTCCTGTATCTAAGAAGGATTCCTTAAGAATTATCATGGCGTTTGTATCTCACTATGATTTAGAGTTACATCAAATGGATGCGAAAACAGCTTTTCTAAATGGGAATTTAGAGGAAGAAGTCTATATGGATCAACCTGAAGGCTTCAGATTAGAGGGTAAAGAACGCATGGTCTGTAAACTTAAGAAGTCAATATATGGACTTAAACAAGCTTCCCGACAATGGTATATTAAGTTTAATGATACTATTACTTCTATTGGTTTTAAAGAAAATACTGTTGATCGGTGTATATACCAGAAGATTAGTGGGAGCAAGTTTATATTTCTGATTCTATATGTTGATGATATTTTGCTTGCTAGTAGTGATCTTGGTTTATTGCATGAAACTAAAAATTATCTCTCTAAGAATTTTGAGATGAAAGATATGGGTGAGGCATCCTACGTGATAGGAATAGAAATATTCTGTGATAGGTCACGTGGATTGTTAGGATTGTCTCAGAAAACATATATTGAGAGAATTCTAGAGAGATTTGGTATGGAACATTGTTCAGCTAGTATTGTTCCAATACAGAAAGGGGATAAATTTAGTTTGATGCAATGCCTAAAGAATGAATTAAAACATAAAGAAATGCAAAATATTCCTTATGCATCTATTGTGGGAAGTTTGATATATGCACATGTTTGCACTCGTCCAGATATTGGTTTTGCAGTTGGAATGCTAAGCAGATACCAAAGCAATCCAGGAATGCATCACTTGAAAGCTGCAAAGAAAGTTATGAGATACTTATAAGGAACAAAGAATTATATGCTCACATTTAGAAAGACTGGTGAGTTAGAGGTTATTGGTTACTCAGACTCAGGTTTTGCTGGATGTGTGGATAGTAGAAGATCCACTTTTGGTTATTTGTTCCTTTTAGCTGGAGGGGCAATATCATGGAAAAGCGCAAAACAGTCTATTATTGCTTCATCAACTATGAAGGCTGAATTTGTAGTATGCTTTGAGGCTACAAATCATGGTTTGTGGTTGCGGAACTTTATTTTGGGATTTGGTGTTATGGATTCAATTTCTAGACCACTGAAAATTTATTGTGATAACACTGCAGCTGTCCTCTTTACTAAAAACGATAAGTATTCCAATAGCGTTAAGCATATGGAGCTGAAATATCTTACCGTTAAAGAAGAAGTTTAGAAACAATGAGTGTCTTTTGAAAATATAAGCACACAACTTATGGTTGCAGATCCATTGACAAAAAGATTACCACTCAAGACATTCATAGGGCATATTGAAAGAATGGGTCTTGAATGTAATCAAAGTTAATTATTATTTTTGTTGTGGATTGCTTAACAATGCTTATATATATTTGACATTTTGAGCTCATTAAAATATGTTTCTGATATTTCCTGTTAATTTGTGTATGTACATGTATGTATTACTTTAAATGATGAAAACATGAATAGTCTTAGAAAAGACATTATTGTAAGACCTTTATTGATGCTTCTCACTTATAGACTATGTTAAATGGGTTACTAGTGTTGTGGTACATAGAAGGGACTATGTTAAATTGGTAGTTTGTTTACCATAGTATTTATGATGACCATATTAATATCTTAATTTAATTTATGGTGCACACTAATGACTATTTTACTAAACCACTACAAAAGTTATCATATGTGCCAAGTGGGAGAATGTAAGATTATTTATTTAATTGTGGCCCACATGATTTGGACATGTGACATATTAGTTGGTGGCTAAGTAAATAGATATCAATTAATTATTCTTGGTCAATTTATAATTACTTTTTTGGTAATTATTTATGGAGAAGTGTTTTCCTTTTAATTCCTTACTTTGATGGAAAGTAAAATTGTAATACTAAAAGGAAAACTGGTCCTCTCTCTGCCTTTATAAAAGTGCATATGCTCCATCAATTATGTACGATTATTGATACAACACATAAAAGGTTATTGTGTGCAAAAGGCCAAGAGAGAGAAACCAGTTTCCACCTTTGTCTGTTGATCAGAGTTGCAGATTGATTCGTGGTTAAAGGATCTGGACATTGGATTTAATTGCAACAAGGTTTGATATCATGAATAGAGGTATGTATATCTAACTATATTTATTTATGCGTTATAAGGATGTGAAATTAATTGAAATTCTAAGATCTAGGGTTTTATGATAATTTGTGATTAAAGTCTAACACAAAATTAATTAGGGTTTTTAAATAATCATATATGGGATTCATCAATTTTTGTATTATTAATTTATCAATTTTTGTATTATTACTTTGTAAGAAAACTTTCGGAACTCAAATTGAACTCAATGATGAATGCCCTACCAAATCCTTAACAAGGACAAGCATAAGGGAATAGGGATGATAAATTACATTATTGTCATGAAATTGGTAATGCAAGATAAGATTTGAAATTTGAATTAATGACAACTACTCTTATCATGACAATAGATCACAGTGTGTTAAAAATATTTCTGGTTGGTGTTATTCTCAATGTTGTATATTCATCTCACCTTTACTAGTGTGTATATATATTACAATGTTTTACATGAAAATATAAAGGAGTATGGTCTTAATTTATTTTATTGGCTAGTTTCCATAATCTGAATATGTTAATCCATCTACGGGGACTTTATATATAGGCACAGATTTTTTTATTTACAAAATTATCTATATTTTTTGTAAAAATCTTTAAAATGCTCCCATCCAATTTTTTTTGATAATATCTGACTATATTATTGTTGTTCAGGCCGCCCCTCTCATACAATTCTCTACGTCGCCCTTCTTATACAATTCTTTAGGTTTGTCACTACTTTTGTCACTGCTTATACACAGTGAACAAATGAAACAAGGGTTGAATGGTTTGCAAAAAATCATTATTCCTTTCAGATTTTCTCTGACATTATTGTTAATCCATATAAAAAGCAATACCATTAAAGAAAATAAAAAAGAAGGAAATAACACAAACTCAGAAGGCCATTTAATAAATTTTTAATTGGGTAAAAATCAACTGTTTTGTAACGACTCGAACTCATGGGTCCAAACCGTTAACTGGGTCCTTACCCGAACACGAGGTCACCTAAGTCGTTCCCGTCATTTCTAATGTCATAAGATCACTTTTAAGGTCATCATTGGACTTCACAGCGGCTTAAAACAAATTTCCAACGCTTAGGATTAATTACATTGAAGAGAAGGACAAAATAAGAAAAGCAGGTGCACTTCGGTCGGCCGAAGCAACTCCCATGAACCGGTCGACCGAAATGAAACCTTAATAGCCACTGAAGTCTTTGGACGAACCGGTCGACCGAAACAGGCATTTCGGTCGACCAAAATGGCTCTGCGTGCTACCCCAGCTACTGGAAATGCTGAAAATCCTGAAAATGAAAAATGGTCTATGGAAAACTTCGCAAATTTGTTTCAAACTTGTTCTACAAACTTCCCAAGTGGTAAACTACATATCATGGTCATGATCCTCAACATCTTATATACAAGGCAACTCCATCAACCATTCAAATATATATATATATATATATATATATAATACATTGTTTTTACATTCTTGTTCAAATATCCAACAAAATAGAGTCAAGTTCATAGGTAAATTACAAGGCCAAGGCAGTTAACTTAATTGCACTTCCACAATAAGGCATTTACAAAAGAATGACCTAATTACAAAAGATAGCAAAAGAAATGAACTCCAAGTCCTCCTCAAACTTGTGAAGGATTATCATCGGCCACCTCCTTTCCATGAACTGAAAAATGTTAAATATAAAGGGGTGAGCAATTTGCTCAGTAGGTGGTGCCTAAGACACACTTCTTGTAACTCCGTGAATCCAAATAATGAATAGGAATAGAGGATAAGGGTCATGCTATGCCGGGAAGGAATATAACATCAATTCTAAATTCAAAGTAAATAATGTCGTGCCATGAAATGCAATGCCATGTATGTCGTTCCTTATTTTCAAAATCCAAATCCATCACTTTTCAAACTGTTAATATAACTCGTCTTTTGGTGATTCCGCAGCGACACGAGAGAATGATTGGCTACTGTCCCTGACCCTTAGTACCCACGCGGCGTCATTTGGGGCCCAGCTAGCTCAACCACGCTAGGGTAATTTCCCTACTTCCCTCTAGGTTATATTAACACCACGGCCCTTTGGCAACTCCGCGGCGACCGAGTTTTCTCAAAACCATTTCATCAAAATTCTTCCCAAAAATCATTTTTCTTTTATTTCAAATCATTTCCCTTCATTCAAACCCAATGAAATGCATACATGTCTCATACTTTCAATGCTATGATAATAAGGGATTTTAATACAACACAATTAAGCATGCTTTATAAGAAATTCTAAGAAAATTACACATGTTCCCATACATCATTTCTAACAAGTTAACAACACAATAGGCATAGAAAATCAACACTTATGCATGTTTTTCATACAAATCAAGTAATACATATAATCATGAACTTTGTACACCACAATTAAATCATTATAGGGGAAAGTAACACCAATTAACATGTTAACAACAATTAGCAATAAATTAATTCACAAAGGCACAAGAAAAATATGAATTAGAGACTCCTACCTCAAGGAGGATGAAAAACCCTCAAAATGGGTCTCAAAACCGGAATCCCTAAAGTGCACTAAAACTAAAATTGCTTATATGGAAGTGAAGATCTCGCCGTGCTCCTCGAATTGCTGCAAACGGCTTCCAAAAATTCCAAGTATTGAGGAAGAAATCAAAACTTGAAGTTTTGATGCAAAAAGAAAAAGAAAATGAAGTGAAAATGAGAGAGGGAGAGAACCTGCGGGAAAGGAGAGAGAATGAGATCATATTGTGGTCTCTTGGGCACCCAAATAGGCTAGTGGTGGGTCCCACCACTTTCCAAATTCTTTTCCTTTTTAACTTTATTTTAAATTCTTATTTTGCACCACACAAATAAATATGTACACAACCATATAAAATACCACATAAAACACATAAGATAAAATACATGAGATGCAATTGAACCTAACTAAAATCCCCATACACAACAATACTGGTAGCGGGTTTCACACGGGTCCGTCCGGTCCAAAATTTGGAAAAATGCAAAAATAACCAACCTTACATTTTCAAGAGCCTTGAACTCAATAGAATGCTCCAAACAACTCACCGACACACCCGGTACGCCCCACGGTGTCCGGTACGCAAAACGTGAAAGGACGAAAATGCCCTTGCATCAACAAAATTCCCAGGAAAAAAGAAAAATGGAGAAAATTGGAAACATTACAATCTCCCCAACTTAAAGGATTTCGTCCTCGAAATCAAGTCATACCTGGGGAAGAAAACAACGTTGGATACTTGGAGCGAACCTCTTGCTCAAGCTCTCAAGTAGCCTCCTCAACTCCGTGGTGCCTCTAAAACTCCGTGGTGCCTCCAAAGAACTTTCACTAGCGGTATCGTCTTATCCCTTAACACCTTCTGTCGTGTGTCAAGGATCTGAACTGGTCTCTCTTCATAAGAAACATCTTCAATAATGTCCACATCAACCCAATTCAAAATGTAAGATGGGTCCGGCTTATATTTCCGTAGCATCGACACATGAAAAATATTATGGACTTTGTCCAACTGGGGTGGCAATACAAGTCTGTAGGCAACTTCTCCAATGCGGTCCAAAATCTCAAACTGGAGACCTACGCGGTCTGCCATGCAAAGCCTCAAATGGAGCCATCTCAATGCTCGCCTGATAACTGTTGTTGTAGGCAAACTCAATAAGCGGTAGATGATCTTCCCATTCGCTCCGACTAGCCATTCGTCTATGAATGGAATGCCGTACTAAGGTGCAATGATGAACTAAACGCTGCTTGAAGTCCTTCCCAGAACTTCGAAGTGAACTTGGCATCCCTATTTGAAACAATGGTTACTAAAACTCTATGCAACCTTATAATTTCCTTCACATATAGCACACCAAGTGCCTCTGCGTCATCTGTTGCCTTAATAGGCAAAAAGTGAGCCGTCTTGATCAGTTTATCAATAATGACCCATACGACTTCATTACCCCTCCGGGACTTAGGATGACCTGTCACAAAATCCATAGCAATCTGCTCCCATTTCCATTGCGCTACAGACAATAGTTGCAATAAACTTATTAGTCTCTGATGCTCGGCCTTCACTTATTGATAGGTAAGGCATCTAGCTA